TTAGCGAACCCTGGATCTTGTTTGCATTGTGTTGTTGAACTGCTATACACCTTTACCCCGATATAACACGACCCGATAGAACATGAATTCAGATATAACGCGGTAAAGCAGCGCTCTGGCGGATCAAAGCAAGTTCGATATAACGCGGTTTCACCTATAACGCAATAAGATTTTTTGGCTCCCGAGGACAGCGTTATATCGGGGTAGAGGTGTACCTATTTTAATACTTAAGCTGCTACTACTATGTAAATGAGCAAGTGTCCCGCTACTTACAGTACATCACTCCCTACCACTGATTTCTATGTAAGGGTGAAGAGTGGTATCTTCTGGCACTCTGTTATAGTAGATTGTTTTTTCATCCATTAGCTCACATCCTGTCTCAGAAACCTTTCTAGTTAGTCATTCTGAGGGCTCCTTGTAACAGCCTGGATAATAGCAGCTGAGTAGGTAGTAGCTTGAGATATATAGGCACATGACTGATATGTTGCTACCTGCATTCTGTATGGTATGTCTACATGTTGAATTTTTAGTCATTTTTAACATGCTGATCAACATGATTTTAAGTTCTAGTAGAGTCAGGACACAAGTTTATGGCTGCAGCTAAGGTTAAACATGACGGAAAAACTGTGGGTCCAGGAACAAATCTTTATGTAGTGTATACAGTATTACAATCACATTAGTTAGCATGTATAAAATCACACTAAAAATTCAAGTGCAGATATAGCCTATGGGTTAAGTTTACCCCTATGCAGAGAGCCCATACACAGCTTTTGCCTTATTTTGGGGACTTAGATTGTAAACAGTTTAGATCAAGGATCATCTTTTTATGTTTGTTCAGAACATAAAAATGGGGCCTCAATACAGGGGTCCCTATGAGCTACTGTAATACAAATATACTTGATTGCCCTTCAACCTGTCCATTTTTGGATGGCCAATTTGCTGTAGGCCTCATGGAAGAAGTGGATGTTGAAGAGAGATTTGAAGGAGGAAAGGATAGAAACTTACAGATCTGTTCAGGATGGACATTCCATGCATAATGTATCTATTTGAATGTGTGAAATAAATCAAAGCATATTTAAAAACTGTTGTTAAGGCAACGTTATGCTTGAGATTTTAACAATATAAAAGTCAATTTATTCCAAGCTATGCTTTTCTACATCCTCCCAAAACTTGGCCAGATGACACAATCATGCTGGAGGGAAGGTGGAATTCTGCCTTCATTTACACTCGGAAACCTCAGGATTGCCTGGGTATCACTAGGGGCAAAATTTAGCCATAAGGCATTAAAGTTAACACCATATATAGCTATTAAATATCCTAGATGTGTGCTGTATGGCTGAGATATGGGGAACTCTGAAGCTACTAAGCTGTATGCATGTAAAATCTCAACCATATTGCAACACTGACAATTTCTTCCATTTTGTAACCAGTTAATTTAAATAGATTCTGCAGTAATAATCAAATCCACTTTCTAAATTTTAAAATGTAATTAAATATTCTGTAAGTTTACCAACGATATCATTTGTTTAATGGCTCATTGAGTTTAGAGGTCTTACAGTCCAAGTTTCCTCAATAACACTGTTATCGGAATAAAGACTTCTGGTAACAAAAAACATAGAAAACATGCTGAAATGGCATTTGTGCAATAGGCAGTGAATCTGTGTTTAAAGTGATTTGTGTCGGGGGGTCTCTGGTTACATAATAGGAAAAAGAAAAGCTGGGTAATGAAAAAAGCATTTTGCAGGCAATTTATCATACGCTTCAGAAGATCTTTAGTGTTTTGTTTTTTTAAAGTTTGATTCCCCAAGTAGGACACACTCGGATTCTCTGTTGCCCCCCTGCACCTTGTTGTAGTCCTTTACATTAGTGCCAAGTGAGTGTAAGATGCTACAAAATCAGAATGTTAGCCATTTACTCCCACTTTGCACTGGTACAAATTACTACAACAAAGTGCAGGGCGATGGTGAATCTGGTCCATAGTAGTTGGAGATAGCAAAGACGTATTCAGGCCTCCGAAAAGTGCAGTTAATCGTTGCACGAGAGACCATATCAGATACTAAACTGATGCTGCACTTGATCTTAAGCAAAATGTCAAGAGAAGCTGTGTCCCACAATAATGTTATTTACACTGCATTGTAAATTGAGCTATTTAATTGGAATTGCTTTCTGCTATCTTCATGTCTACAAGGAAAATGTGTGGTAGAAATATATCCTGGTAACATAACTGTCTAGAAGAAATATTAAATATGGGAAAAGGGGATCAGGAAGGGAAGACTGTGCATATAATAAATTATACTGAAAACAGTATTCTCTTGGGTTTCACTCAACATCATCTTGGGCCAGATCCTCAACTGCTGTAAACTACACTGACTTCAATTGAGTAATGACAATATACTCAAGTTGAGGATCTGCCCCATAGTCTTTATATTACATCTAAAATTATAGCAATATGTTGTGCTTATCAAAAAGAGATATAAACTACCAATAAAGAGTCCTGTAGCACCTTACAGACTAACAGATGTATTGGAGCATAAGTTTTCGTGGGTGAATACCCACTTTGTCAGACGCATGTCACCCACGAAAACTTATGCTCCAATACATCTGTTAGTCTATAAGGTGCCACAAGACTCTTTGTTGCCTTTTACAGATCCAGACTAACACGGCTACCCCTCTGATACTAAACTACCAATAGTTTTATCTCACTGTGCTAAAATACTTGCCAAAACCCCCCTAGGTGGCTCTTAAATAAGTGTTAGCAATGATATCTTATAACTAGTTTAACTGAATGCATGTCCTTCTTGGACTAGTTGGGTTCAGATTCAGCTGTGGAACACTGACCTTAAACCACAGAAGTCCTATATAGGTTTACTTTTTTTAAACTTTTGGAAGCATGGCTATCCATTGTATCAACATACCAATACCTTATGGGAGAAATAACAGCATTCTAGAATAATGGGCCAAAACACTTAGCCATACAGCTGTTAATGTGCTGACAAAGTTTTCAAAAGTGATCAGTGATTATAGATACCTCAGTATTTGGCTGCCCAACTTGGACACCTCAAAGAGGTCTGATTTTCAAAGGTGAACACTTAGAACTTTCTGAAAATCAGGTCTCTTTAGGGTGCGCCTCAAGGTGGACATCTCAAAAAACAAAAAAACCCATCTTACTAACTACTTTTAAAAATGTAGACCTGTACTGTTTACAAGCACTGAAATATCACAGTGGTAGGTGTAGTAAAAAAACTTGACTAGAAGACATGGTGTTGAACACTGGTAGCTCAAGACTGCACATTGTCCCAGTGCACTAATTCATGATGATAGGCTACTCCAACTGCTGCAAGAGAATCTTACTGAATCTTACTCCTGAGTAAGGTTACTGTGCTTGAGCACAATGTATAGCTCTCTCTATTTGTCCTACTTAGACTGTTTTACAGATTACTAGAGTATCTGGATTGATTCTCTATCAAATAGGGATAAATTAAGAGATGGTAGTGGTTCTTCTGTTGATCCAGAGATCTCATTTGAAAGTACAGGGTTTTAAATACTGGATTAAAAAATGAAAATCAACTGTGAGTGCACAAATATGAGGAACTGAGTTTATTGGCTTTGGAGGGTGGGACATATACACTAGAAGATGCTGAAAGCGAATCTGCATTCAGGATTTAACTTTTATGATAAATGTTACTTCTACAAACAACGAGAAGTCCTTGTGGCACCTTAGAGACTAACAAATTTATTTGGGCATAAGCTTTCGTGGGCTAGAACCCACTTCATCGGATGCATGAAGTGAAAAATACAGGAGCAGGTATAAATACATGATAGGATGGGGGTTGCTTTAGCAAGTGTGAGGTCAGTCTAACGAGATAAATAAATTAACAGCAGGACACCAAGGGAGGAAAAATAACTTTTGAAGTGGTAAGAGAGTGGCCCATTATAGACAGTTGACAAGGTGGTGTGAATAACGGTAGTGAGAAATTAGTATTGGGAAAATTAAGTTTATGTTTTGTAATGACCCAACCACTCCCAGTCTTTGTTCAGGCCTAATCTGATGGTACCCAGTTTGCAAATTAATTCCAGTTCTGCAGCTTCACGTTGGAGTCTGTTTTTGAAGTTTTTTTGTTGAAGAATTGCCACTTTTAGGTAGGTTATTGAGTGACCAGAGAGGCTGAAGTGTTCTCCTACTGGTTTTTGAATGTTATGATTCCTGATGTCAGATTTGTGTCCATTTATTCTTTTGCGTAGAGACTGTCCGGTTTGGCCAATGTACATGGCAGAGGGGCATTGCTGGCACATGATGGCATATATCACATTGGTAGATGTGCAGGTGAACCTAAACTTAATTTCCCCAATACTAATTTCTCCCTACTGTTACTCACACCTTCTTGTCAACTGTCTGTAATGGGCTACTCTTTTACCACTTCAAAAGTTATTTTTCCTCCCTTGGTATCCTGCTGTTAATTGATTTATCTAGTTAGACTGACCTCACACTTGGTAAAGCAACCCTCATCCTTTCATGTATCTATACCTGCTCTTGTATTTTTCACTTCATGCATCCGATGAAGTGGGTTCTAGCCCACGAAAGCTTATGCCCAAATAAATTTGTTAGTCTCTAAGGTGCCACAAGGACTCCTCGTTGTTTTTGCTGATACAGACTAACACAGCTACCACTCTGAAACCTGCTACTTGTACAGACATCCTCTGGAACCCTTAGCCATGTTGAAACTTGATAATGTCATGTTTCTCCCCTAATCTCCCCCGAAAAATTTATAATAATAACCAACAATAATAACCATCAAGACAAGTCAGCTCAAACGTGTCACTCCTAAAAAAAGGAATCCATCTGAGTAAATGTGATTGTGGATACTACAGTTAGGAATAACCATAAATAGTAACAGACCTGCAGAGATGAAGCTGGCTACAGATCAGCACAAAATCCCAATAGTGACAGGCAAGGATTATTGTTCCAGACCGTGTAGATAGTGTAGTAATTCTGCCATATGTTCATAATTAAAGAGATTTTATTTCATTTCATTCATAAGAGGAACATTTACATATTAGCGAGAGTATGTACAATTTTAAAAATTCGCCTTTCATAAAAAAAATTGGTAGATGAAAACAAACTATCCTAACTTGAGACACTGAGTGTTAAAGCTATCACCCTCTTTGACAGCTACAGCCTCAAGCAGTGCTTGCTTCTTCTGCATACTGCGGGATGACTCTAATTCATACATAGTTGTCAAATTGAAAAGAACACTCTCATGTAGGTAGTGTTTAGGGTCCTGCTGAACCATTCCTTCTAACTGCCGAAGGGAATCCTTCAACTTTCCCAGATAAAGCAAACATACAGCCGCATTGTTATTAGCCTAGAGAAAAAGATTATAAATATATATTGAGTCTGGAGTCAAACCAAATTTAATAAATCTTTACTTGTGTGTATGTGTGTGTGTGTGTGTGTGTGTGTGTGCAAATAATTGCAATTGTTGAAATGTATTATTTATCCTACAATTCAATTCTTTTATCCTTGGCATTGTGAGCTTGGTTACTTTCAGTGTCTATCCCATAACAAAAACTGGCTGACCTCCAACATCTGAAGTTCAAAAAGATAGAAGAATCCAAGCTGGAATTCAGATTGGTAAAGGGACTCGATAGATAATGTTAAAAGCGAGCTGAAAGTGGTTTCAGATACCACACTTGTCCTTGAATCCTCCTGCCAATTATTCTAGTTTTACACTTACATATTCCTATTTTTAAAAATGTCCTTCTCTCCCCTGCAGCTACATGAAACACAGATGCAAACAGGGGAAACTGATTTACTGAAACTGACTTAAGTCAATGGGTAGATTCACTAGCTAGGGCAGTCCAAATAAATCCCAAATGCTCATCAGGTTCCATATCCTGTTCATCAGAGCAGAATTTATTAAGTAACAGAAGGTACAAAGGAGACAAAAGTAATATGAAATGCTTAGCAATGGAGACTTTCACACTTTCTGAAAGCTGGGGATATGATCCTCTTCCCTAAGTAGCTCTCGCAGATCTTCCACAAATGAGGGTAAGCTGTCTCTATTTATAGCAGGTGGCGTTTGTAGCCTGAAGTCACACGACTCCAAGCATGTGCTCCCTGAACTTGGTTCCCTCAGTCTTAAAGGGGCCTGGGAACATGGCACTGGGGACACATGCTTATGCCCAAGGATCAGCATACTGATACATCCCTATAATCGGACAGCTGCCAAATATACAAGTAAACAAGATTTAAAAAATTGACAATTCTTCTGTAATGTCTTTCAGTGATAAGAATTTCAGGCTCTGATTTACAGCTGGCTATATATGGGCAGGCCCATGTACATACACAGATGCAGTTGCATGATCAGGAGCCTTTAGTGTTATTTCTAGAAATAGTAATTAAAATGGGTTAAAAAAAGTGTGATTTTTCAAGCTGATAGTGTCCCTTTAATACTATCTGATGACAAATTATTTCCTCATATGTTGGCAATTGCCATTTTGTTTTCCATTATGTACCTCTAACAAAACAAAGCCAATATATAAAAGCCCTCATAAAGCCCCCTTAACATGTAACCAATTGCAATGCATGCAGTAAACAATCAGGCTCTTCAGGTAAACTGGTCCTGCCTTCCCCTACCCATCCCTTTGTTTTTATTTGTATCTTATCTTTATGTATAGAGAAAGCTCTTTGGAGCATGGACAATATCTCATTTTTCTATAAAGTTCCAAGCACCTTTTGGGTGCTATCTAAATCTAAGGGATAAGCTATGGCAGAACCACTCAGGTGTCAATTCAATGTAGCAAATCGGGAGTCTTACCACAGCATTTGCAGGGTCAATCCTTAAAATTTCCGTGAAGGCTCTGTGAGCTTCTGCAAAGTTATTCTGACCAAGATGGAGAAATGCTCTAGAAAGTAAGTGACATGTGAGTCAGTTATCCTGAAAAACCCAAGGTGATAATACATTTCAAATGGAACTGAGACCACTTTTTATTTTCCCTATTATAGATGTGAGAGTTTTTGACATTTGCTCTTCACAGTGTAATCGTGAGCCAGCTGTGAGACACCAATTTACAGACAAATGAAGTGACACTTCAGATCACTGGCCACTTCAGATATTCTGCCACCAAAGCAATGCTTTTCTATATTTGTTATTAAAATGCAGACAGTCTTCCTAAAATAATTTCTCTATGAAACTACAAGTGTTATATCTGTTTCCAGAACACACTTGTAGTAGTATTTTACTTGTCAAAACATATTTAGCCAATATGATAAAACACCAAAAACTGAGGACTCCATCATGCAATCTGATTTACTAGTGCATATCTTGGCATCCGTTTGAAGCTAACAAGTGTTGGGTCTGCACTAGCGAATCTATTTGCAGGATCAGAATCCAAAAGAGCTTCTTTGTTCCTAAAAGTATAGATTAAAAAAATAGGGTAAAATATGCAATGCTTCGAAGAATGAGAAATAACTTTGTAAAATCAACTCTTGTAACTAAAGAGTTTCAAGCCAGGATAAGATGACTACACCAAGTAATACAGATCTCATGGGTGTACATGCCATTCAGTCTCACTTCTGACAGATGTAGTTACATAAAAGAGAGCAAGAAAGAGAAAGAGATACTCTCAAGGGTACTTTAAAACTCACAATGCACATTTTACAAAATCATATTTTTAAGTTTCATTTAGCTCTTAAATTATCTACCTGTTCATTAAAACCATAATTTGGTACTGTAGTCCATCCCATTTCTGACTCATTTTCTCAACATCTTGAAAATATTTTTCTGCAGTTTTTATATCTCCAATCTGGATGACAAAAATCACAAGAAAGTTAGGACAATGCATGAGAAAGACCCATTCAAATGATATCTTCATGGGACATCCTTCCACAAAGAACCAAAATGTGAAAACATATGAAGTATTAAAGTAACTGACCTCATAATTCTACCTCTCTGATTAGTCATTATTCACTGTGAATGGACTAAAGCCATTATCAAGACAGAGTTTTACAATTCCTCATTAAGCTCACAGAAGTGAATAACAAAAACTACATACAGCGTCCTCTTCCCTAAGGCGCTGGTTCTTAAACTGGGCTCAGTGGAACATTAGAATATTATGTAGTGGTGGCTTTGTCTCCTCATTTCTAGCTGCTTTGACAGGTGTCCAGGGTCTCCATTGTAAAGAAAACCCCAGAGGTTTGCAAAACTAGCTGGAAATGAGAAGACAGCAGAGCTACCTCCAATAGCTACTACACAAGAGAGGAAACAGGATCACTCTTCAAAGCCAGGAGTCGCCAATCATAAGCGAGACGGAGCATGGTAGCCAGGTAGCTTGTGGAAGACCCATTCTTCAGATGACCACACCACCTATGACCAGAGGAGACCTATTCCCCTCCCGAGCAATCACCCCACAGCCATAGACCACAGAACGACCCCCCACCACTGCTGCTACCGAGAGAAAAATACCAGGTAGAGAAGCCACATAGAAGAGTCTCAGTGAGGTACTGAGGAAGGGGTAAGGTGGTGGATTCTGAAGTATTGGGCTAGATGATAAAGAGGGTGCATGGGTGGAAGGAGTGATGGATTTGGGAACTGTCAGAAAACAGAACTGAATTTTTTTGGGAGGGTGGTCAAGGTATGAAGTGAATCAAATGTCACATAGTTTTTAAGTTATGAGTGACTATTTTAGGAAATAAGCTTTTCTTCTCTTTTAGCAAAAATATGGTAGTTTACAAAACTTATCATGAACAATTCTTATTTCTTAACTGTATCTCAACATTCAAGTTTCTGAATAATATGCAATTACTATACATAAACTATTAATTCTTAAGTGCCTTTACTCCATTAAACAAATGGAAAGTATTTATCCCTTTTGCTTTTCCAGGATATTTGACATACAAGAATCAGTTTAAATTAGTGCTGGAATTTTAACCATTTAAAATTACTTCCCCGCCACTGGATTTTATTTAATTAATTTAGGAATTGCAGTCACTTTTTCTGAACTAATTTAACTATTAGGATTATTAATGCTTCCAAATTAACATGAAAACCCTCTTGTTAGTCTCAAATAATCAAACCCACGGTTAATATTCCTCCAATGTAATCTGTACTGACTAACTGTGGTTTCTGTTAGTCTGAAAAACAGGATTATTTTTCAGAAAATTTTTTAGGGGCTATTTTTAAGTCCCCTTTGCTGTAATCTATTGCAGAGACTAGGGTTAAAATAGTCACAGAACAACATAAAAGCACTGGTTTGTAAATTAGACAGTAATTTCACTTTTCAAGTCCTTTGATGGAGTTATTCAAATAGCAAATAAGGGTCAGCTAGCAAGCAGATTCAGAGTACTTTAGGAGCACAAAATGAAATACTGAAGACCAAACCATCTTCATTGTTTCTTCCTAACCTATCAGTCTGAATTTGTCTCTGATGTGTCTCAAGTAGTTGCTGACAACTTTCCTCACATTACCTCTTAAAGCATCTCGGGGATAGACTGTGGCCTTTTCTGCTTTTTCCAAATCTCTTCCCTCATTTAGTATTTATATGATGGTAGCTACTGAAGGCCTCATTCAAAATCAGGGCTCCACTGTGCTAGGTGCTCTATGAATACATGGGAAGACATGATTCCTGCCCTAAGACGCTCATAATGAATTAAAGATAAGTGACATTTGGAAGGTGAAGGATATAGGTAACATCAAACAGAAAACACCACACACACTATTTTGTATACTTAAAAAGAAAATTAAAAACCCTTCAACTATACCTCACAGCCCCTGAAAGAATACATTCTTGTAGGCATTATAGAAGAATTGGCTCTTGTGAGAAATTTGAAGTAAGAGAGGATACTGTCGGAGAATAACAGAGTTCTCACTTTTTGTTTGGGTACAGCAAGTCAGATGCTTTATTAACTCTCACAATTGCGCAGAGAGAGAGAGCTAAGCAGGTCTCTCTACAGGTAAACAATTACAGCAAACCTTTATACCTTTCATTACAGACAATAATAAGCAACAGCTGCATTTTGTTTATACATAGGCCATCTTGATATCTTATTTTTCTCACTTGTTTTGAGTCTAGCCTACATACAATATTTTCTACACATTATCTACACAAGGTCGCAACAACTTCTCACACAGTTCTTTCCCACTCGCCTGACACAATCCTCGCTTCTACAAATCTCGCGTTATTAGGATTACAGTTAGCCTGACTCTTGCTAACGAACTGTTATGCATTGCAGTTCCTTCCTGTCAGTTCTTTCTCTGCTTCCACAATACAAAACTTGGCTTATCCTTATGCCAATGTTATGTCTCCCAAGACTCCACCCTCCACTTCATATTCATAGCACTTCTTCACTAGTCACATCTAGTAATTCACCATTGCGTTACTTCACACTTAGGAGTTGAATTCTACTCCCAAAATACCTTTGGTACTTTCATAAATGGGTAAAATCTGGCTCATTGTGCCTCTTCTGGTTGCAATTCATGGCTAGCAGAACAGTTTGAGACTACCTGTACTTGGGAATCACTTGGCACCATTTTTCTGAGAAAGTATGAGGCTTGAGTTCTGAAAAGCTCCCTTTGCCTTTCCCCTCAGTTTTTGCAAAAGGTTTTGTCTTCTTCTCATGGAGTCTGCCTGTTCTAGAGTTCAAACATGCTACACAGCTGTCGCCTACACATGCTGGCTCCCAACTCCTCTTTGCTGCACCTCTCTCTCTCTCTCTGAGTTCACACCCCTCTTAGTTTTGTTTACATGCTCAGTGACAACTTCTTTTGACATCAAATTCCTGTATCAGGTGCTTAGCACTCTCCAGATGGAATTTGTTGCTATTAAATTTCAGTCCAGTCTACCCTCTCTCAATGAGGTTTTATACTTATTTTCATAAACACGCAATTTGAATTCTTCTTTTATTCTTATATTTAAAGCTACCAAATAAAAACAGGAGATATTGCCAAGTAATAAAGACATTTTCCCTGATGCACCAGGCCGAAGAACTATTTGCATTTAGAAGGGGTGTTTTCATTAGCTATTGTCCAGGGTTATGTAAGCAAGCCAACAGGCACCTCATACTTTATTTTCCATTCTGCTACGCTATGAGGAAAGGTCCAGTTCTGGCAGTAAAACCATTAATTCGAATAATCCCGTGTCATAGCCAACCACCAAGGAGGATGACAACTTGACAGGATTCCCTTCAGAGTCTGTTAACACCACTCTTTAAATTGGATGGACAGACTGCTCTTCAGAGACATGGGGCAGTCTACGCCCACTCTCTCGAGGTTGAGAGTGTTAATGCAGTCACTGATGTATCAGAGAGAAAGACTCCAGGAGCAGGAAGTGATCTCTGCTTTGTCACATGACAGTGCCAAGTAAAGCAACCAGGCTGGCTGATTGATTTTTCTATTATGACCCAGAATTATCAATTATGTGAATTTTGAGTAGCTTTATTCATAGTTATACCTTTCTTTAACACACATAATTAGTAGAAGTTGTCTATTTAGGTAATAATTAATGTACTTTTATATTTCTCAATTTTATAGGAATTTCACTTTAACGTTCAGATCAATTCTGATTCAGACTAAAACCTTCAACCACCACCACCACATTTCTACTGAATGATCAACTACGTTGAAATAAAATCCTTGCTAGAAAAATTGAAAATTCCATAATTGGATTTGTTTGAATGACAACTTATATGATTTCAAACGAACAATAATAATGTAATTATCTTTCATCCAAGTAAAAAGAAACCCCAAATAGAATAGTTTAATTTTCTAGCCTTAGCACCACAGACAAGAAGAAAGTTTATAAATAATTATATCATTTAAGCACTTATATTTTCTTTAATAATAAAAGAGAAAGTCTGAAGTGTTTAACATTAGGGAATGTTACAAACCCATTCTTTATGGATTTGTGGGATACAAAATAGGACTTAAATTTTCATCAGATTACTATGTAGCATAGTAATAACAGATCATTTTTTGAAAAACAATGTAATATTCCAACAGTATTCAATAGATGTCATCTACACAGCCATATGCACACTCTTTGTACACATGAAACACTGCTGGCTTTTCTCTCCACAATGGAAATAAAGCCATGGCAAAAGGAAGGTGAGGAAATTCTCACATGGCTTTTGGATTAAGCTATTTAAGGAGCAGTTTGATTAAACACCAGAAGTCTGTATGTGTTTGAAGAAGAGGGAAATTAGATTTGGGGTGAAATCCTGGCCCCATTAAAGTCTGTGGGAGTTTTGCTATAGACTCTAGTGGGATCAGGATCTCACCCTTTGAATGGATATAATTACTAGGTATAATTTCCATAGTGTCATCTTTGTTAGATAATGTAATTAAGTTTGATTCACCACTGTAAATACTTTACATTTTCTAATCTAGTCAAATGTTTCATGGTAGAAACTCTGTTTTATCTTATTTTAAAGCCTCTACTACATTTGGGTTGCCATAAATATGCCTAATGAGAATAACAACAGAGTTTTAAAAACAGCAATTACTCATTACATTACTGTCAACAACATTACTTAGCATATTCAGAATAACATATATACCTGAAGAAAAATCCTTCCAATTCCACTCAACAGCTGAGGTTCCTGTTCTGGGTAATATTTGATGACTGTGTGATATGCATCTACAGCAAGCACATAGTCCTAAGGGGGAAAAAAGCACATGACTAGATTTTTAAGATCAGCATTCACTCATTGTTTTATGTACGCTGTTTTTAAAAAGTTGTGCGAGCTGTAAACAGATATTAATGAGAACAGGTACAGAATTAAAATCATTGCAAATGTTTAATGTTAATGGAATTTCCTCGCAACATGGTAGTGCTAGCTGCTGGCTATTCTAACCTTCTGACTATTCAGTTCTATTGGAAATGTACACTATAGCCAGAGATAAAAGTGGCAGATTTTTCCTTACATTTTTTTCCCCAACTGGATCACGTCTCTCCCCAGCAAAATTACCAACAGAACCTGACCATTTACTCTTCAGCTTCCAATAATGTTTTAGGGTGGCATTTTCAAAAGCACCTAAGTGAGTTAAGAGCACAAGTGCCATTTAGTCTAAATCAATGGCGATTCTGCACCCAAGTGACTTAGGCACTTCTGAAAATTCCATGTGTAAATTGTAATACAAGGACTTCTAGTGCGATGCTCAGAATCAAAACCATATCAGAGACTAAAGGGTACAGCCTGCTCTTTCCAGGCTGTACACAAGCATCTTAAGATAGCTGGCATACACTCTGTCTAGTAGCCTACCATTTTGTTTTGTTTTGCCTCTTGAAGGTGCTCTAAACTCTGCAAGTTTTAATGCTGAAAAGAAACAGGGGTCACTTTTCCCCCTAACTTACTTGGAAAAAATGCCGCAGGCATTTCTTCTGCCTTCTCCTCTACTCCATAACTGAAGGGACATAATGTGAACTTTGTTATGTTTTCTTAAGGCTATATTTAAAATGACTAAGCCCTTCCTATTTCTGACCCAGATCACCACCTGTAATTATCCAATTTTGCAGTAACAAAAATCAAAGAGATCTTCAATTGCAAACAATTTGCAAACTGTGACTATAATTCATTAACAATGATAAATGTATAATATTTAATAACTGACATATTTAGAGCTCTTGTTGTCACTCTGATGCACCATGTCATACTAAATGTTACTGTATCAATATTGGCTACCCCAGAAGTTCAAAAATCCAACAGACTGACCCTAAAAGAGTCAGGAGGTTTTATTTGGTCTGCCCTCTTTTGAACTCCCCCTTCCATCAATGTGTGGGTGATATTTACACTGTTGAGAACTCTCACAAATGTTAAAACTGGAGTGAGCACATGTGGATACAGGTTAACACTACTCAAGTGCTGCTAGACTGCCTTCCCACAATTCTTCCCCCACCTCCACTATCCAGATAGGGCAGAAAAGTTCTCCCACAAATCAATGGGAAATAATTCATAGAGCAGTTCAACTTATTGCAGTGCTAAGAATCATGGGATGTGTACCCAGAAGTCTTTGTGCCCCATATGAGTGAATGCAGCCACTTGAATATTATTTTGCATTGTGGCTGCTCCACCTTGAGCTATGCTAACTTCAGAGGAATAACTTGAAGGTAGAGAACTTGAGTTTACTCTTCAGTGAAGAGACAAAGCAGTCTGTCACTTCATATGTCTAAAGGGACAATTACACTTAACCAATTACACATAATAAAAACGCAACAGTAAAACAAATGGGATGTTATACTAATTCACTTTTAAATGCGATGTTTTACAACATAAAATAATTCCAATAATTACTCTGCGGTCATTACTCTAACTTTTATACATATATATAGTTTTTCACCCCACATGGGTATGAGCAGGGTTGGAAACCACAATCTTCAGATCCAAAGCATAGACCTCCTCCACTTCAGCTAAAAGAGTAAGTGGTAGGAGGAAAGCATGCTGTTATGTGTATGAGGACTAGCCCATATAGGGAGACACCACACACACAGTTAGTGGGTTACAGAAATGGAAGGCTGGACATCAGGATAACTGGTTTGTATTCCTGGTTCTGGGAGCAGATTGTGGCGTAGCGGTTACAGAGAGCATAACCTAATGAAACAATGCCCCTGCTTGGGACATATGTAGGGTTATTCTGGGTGTAAAAGGGTGAGTTGCTAACACTTCAGCTAAAGAACCATACCTCTTTGCATGAATGCAGTAGCAGAGTCATTAATCTGTGTGGTTTACCCACTACACTATGGCACAGAGCCACACTGCACTAGTGTTAGTTACACAAGCATCTGATTTGACAGGTTCCTTCTGGAAGACTATGTTGCAAAATGGATAAACTTAGCTCTGTTATATTAGAGACCTGTGTTTCATTCTCAGCTCTGCCTGAAGCGGGCTTGTGTAAGCTCCCAGTTATCGGTGCAAATTATGAAGGACAGTTACCTTCCCATATGATATGAAATCTTGGCTTATAATAAGGGTTGAGAAGGGTATAGAAACGTTAACAGCAGTCACTGGAAGCGTTAGGACTAGAACTCATAATCTTGGGGCTTAAAAGGTTCATGCACCTTCCACTAAACTATAAAACATAAGTAGGGAGTTCTCTCTCTCACACATTGCTTCCTAAAAAAAAATCACATGAAGGCTGAAGATTTTTGCATCATCATGAGAATGCCTGCAGAATAATTAAAGCAAGAGAGAGGACAATTTATGCTGTCTCTGTCTTTTAAATCAGAACAGAATCCAAATCAGAAGAGAGTCCTTAAACATCAACTCTTGCGTCACTAGTATAGATTGCTGTCTTCCCTTCCTCCTCCACATCGTTTTAATTGCAGTAGACCCAGATACCCCTCTGATACGGCTCTGGTCAGCACCGCCAACCGGGCTGTTAAAAGACCCGTCGTCAGTGCTGTTCAGCTAAGGCAGGCTAGTCCCTACCTGTTCTGACACCGCGCTGCACCCTGGAAGTGGCCAGCAGCAGGTCCGACTCCTAAGCGGGGGGACCACAGAGCTCTACGTGCTGTCCCCACCCCGAGCATCGGCTCCACACTCCCATTGGCTGGGAACCGGCCAATGGGAGCTGGGGAGCGGTGCTTGTGGGTGAGAGCCACATGGAGCCACTTGCGCACCTCTGCCTAAGAGCCGGACCTGCTGCTGGCCGCTTCTGGGGCGCAGCGCGGTCCGTGGTGCCAGGACAGGCAGGAAGCCTGCCTTAGCACCCCAGCTGCGCTGCTGACTGGGAGATGCCTGAGGTAAGCCCGTGCCCCAACACTGCACACCAATCTCCTGCCCCAACCCTGAGCCCCCCCCACAAACCCAGAGCCCCTTCCTGCACCCCAAACCCCTCATCCCTGGCCCCACCCCAGAGCCTGCACCCCCAGCCCAGAGCCCTGACCCCCTCCTGCACCCCAACCACCTGCCTCAGCCCTGAGCCCCTCCCACACTCCAAACCCCTCATCCCCAGCTTCACTGGGTCGCAGGCATCAACAGTTTTCTTCAACTGGGTAGCCAGAAGAAAAGTTTGAAAACCACTGGGTTAGAGGACTAGCCTTAGGTAAAGGAGACCCAGGTTCAATTCTCTGTTCCACCACAGGTTTCCTGTGTGATCTTGGGTCACTTCTCTGTGCCTCAAATCACCACCTGTAAAATAGTATTCTTTTCTACCTAACAGGGCTATTAATGAGGTGCTCATAGACTGTGGTAATATGGCCATGTAAGTACAAAACTCCATGGGTCACATAAGTTTTCCTTTCAGGATGGTCAAGAAGAATGACACTGAGGGGAATTTATTGGGTTTAATCTTTAAGGCTGGGTTTATTAAAAGAGCCCAAAGGTGTTAGGCAACCAACTCCCATGGAAACTAATTATTTTAGGCTCCTTTGACAATCCTAGCCTTAAAGACAATCTATAATTATATTTCAACAAATACTAGTTAACTTTTTTGGCCAAAGGAAAAGGTTAATAAAATTTACAGCTGGAAATTAGTCAATGTTTTTTACACCAAGGTTACAGGGAATATTATTATAGTTCAGTAAATAACTATTATTATTATCATCATCATCACCACTCTACCCAACAGCACAAATGATTCAAGTAACAAACAGTACTTCAGAATCAACACAGAATTATATCCCAATATAATATATTGTCAGTAGATGGCGATAGATTGCACTGTCTCAGTTCAGGAGAAACCCAGAATTTGTTTGTTTATTCATTACACCGGAAAACAAAAAGCTTCAAAACTGAATGATATATTTTACAATGAATACTCCTCTAGAAATATATTACATACAACTGATATCTCTTACAGATATCTGAAGCTTTGTGTAATTAATTTCCTCAAAAAACGCTTATCCTCAAGAAAGACCACGTTTAAAAATCATTATTTAAAGAAATAATTTGTTATCAATTAAAGCAGAAGGCAGAGATGAATATCTGAGAATTGTTTGTTATTAAGACTGTTTTAACATTTGGGAACATTTAAAGGAAAAAATAAAGAAGAAGCCAATTTACCTGTCAGAGGATTTGTGGCATATACAGTACAGATTATCTTCACATTTTGTCCTTATTTTAACTGCAATATGACTTATGTTTGAAAATTGCTCTTAAAAGATTCTGACTCTTATAAGGCAGTTCTTGAAAATTATGTGCATCACGGGAAGGTACATGCAACATATTCAAGGACAAGTTTAATACAGGTAATGGCTATGTTGGGGGTTCAATAGCAACATGTATTGTTATGTGGGAAATCTGAATTCTGGAAATAATCTTGGAATTCTAGTTTCCTAGATTGAGAGTTATAATACAGATTGTGAATACACTTGGTTTTGAGAAATGCAGGAAGGAGAATGAGTTGCAGTTCTCTTGAAGCAACCTTGTCAGAAACACTGATGACTGGCTTAGAGGTTGGAGGTCATGCCACTACTGAAGTGAGAAGAAAATACCACAAAAAGGACGAAAGGGGAACAGAAGCAGAAATGGGATATAGAAGCAGAAAAGAAGAGGAGAGCAGAAGTGACTAAAGGAGATATAAGGCGCTTAGGGGAAAAAATCAGTATAGTTAAAAGCAAAGTTACTGTATAACTAGTTGGAAGCCTGCAGTGTTTGTTAACTATATTTCTTTAACTGGATATTTTTATACTCCAGTTATAGATTTAAGTTTGGGATGGACACTCAGTATTTAATTTTTTTCCTACCTGCATTTCAAAAAGGAGAGTTTCCTGAAAACTGACCGTGTCTCAGGATTCTGATTCAAAACAAAGACTTGTTTGCTTTAAAGACAGAATGGGGCTTCCTTCTGACCACCCTGATTTGCTGTGCTGTTGTATTTACATAAGAGGAAATAGTGCTGATCTCACTCTAACTATTCTGAATATATATTTCCATCTCCTGGGATCCTCATAAGAGCAAAATGCTGAATTTTAAGGCAGCCTCTGGGCAACTGACGCTTTCATACCTGTACATTATTTGAGATATTATTTCAGTGTTAAAAACATCAAGAAAACAAGGCTTACAAGTAGCTTATTCAGCTTTATGGAAAGCCAGGTTCAGGAATGAGGTTGGGCAACTAGGATCATAAGAACGGCCATACTGGGTCAGACCAATGGTCCATCTGGACCAGTATCCTGTCTTCCGACAGTGGCCAATGCCAGATGCTTCAGAAGGAATGAACAGAACAGGCAATTGTCAAGGTATCCACCTCCCTGTTGTCCACTCCCAACTTCTGGCAGTCAGTCAGAGGCTAAGGAAGCCCAGAGCATGGGGTTGCATCCCTGACCATCTTGGCTAATACCCATAGATGGACCTATCCTCCATGAACTTATCTAATTCTTTTTTGAACCCTGTTATAGTTTTGGCCTTCTCAACACCCTAACCCTGTAACAGGGTTCAACGCTAGGAATATGGAGAAGTTCAGAGCCTGGTCTGTGAGAGGTTATAGTGTGGACAGTGTTGCTCTGGGGTTTTGATGCTAATTAATCCATAAAGTAGCTTTAAGATCTGGGTTGAGGCAGTCCATTGCTCTTGCCACAAGCTTAGCACAGGGGCATCCCTATTCCCATGGCAATGAGGTCTACTTTGGAAGCAGTTTGTTGTTCCCTCTTTCTGAATGCAAGGAGAAGCTGCTGCACAAAATGGAGTAGGATGGCTTACAGGAGGGGGGGGAAAAACAGGCAAAAAATAGACAACTCCTCTCTGACTGTTCCTTCCATTGCAGCTATAGGAGACTAAAAACTCCAGGGTCAGAATCTTGTTGCACAGACATATGGACAAGGCAGAAGATGTATTTGGATGCTTCGAGTCTTTGTCACACACAAAGCCTACAGTATCATTACTGTGTGCTACTAGAGTAACATTCCTAGTACACAGTTTGAGAAAGACAGAGAGAGCATATAATTGGTTTTAATTACAGTATTTAGTTAAGTGTTTGAAAAATTCAATTTAAAAATGCAAATTCTGTATTGTTATTGCATGTGCTCTGAAATGATTTCAAAAGAAATAAGTGTAGATATGGTCCTAAAGAATATTGCTGCAAGTGGTTATCTATTAAATAAGTAATTACTAAGTCTAATTAATTCTTCACTAAGCTAAACCTTGTACAGTCAGGTAGTCTTCCCCTATCCATGCACCAGTAATTCTCTTGCACTTTCTCTGACATTCTATTCTAGTATATACGGTAACTCTGCAGTTATTGCCACCCACGTACCTTCATCATTAGCAGACAGTTTGCCATGGAGTACATCACCCGGCCCAGACGTGACCTCCACAGCTCAACAGAGGCTACAAAATAAGAGCAGCTTGTGAATGTACACAAATAAATTAGAGGTTCTTTCTAGCCATCAATTATTGGTCCTATGAATTCTGATTTAAAAGATCCCCCTTGTTAACATCACTGGGCTTCAGCATAGAATTTTTAATTCTTTGCCACGCTGTACTGTCAGATAGAAAATATTGCCTCTCTCAAAGGGACTAGTTTGATTGGTTCTAGGAATAGAATATCTGCATAAATGATGCAACGATGCAAAAGCAACGGACCTTTCAGCTTTTAGTTCAGGCAACATATTAAATACTAAAAGAAGCCACACATTTTCTAATATCAGAACAAAAGATACATAGAAACATCTAAATAATTATTACCATCAGCATACAATTGTGTAATTTATCAGATTAAATTTAATCAACTAAAAACCCAAACATAGCCTGAAATTTCATCTCAAAGCCAGAACATGCAGGGTCAGAGCTCACTGAGTCTGGGACTATTTATGTTTGCCTCTGGCTTAGTGATATGGTGGAAAAATCTGCCGAGCCTGTCTGTCTTTTCCGCACTCTTGGAGCTTGCAGGCTGTAAAGGCTGCAGCAGCAGATTTCTAATTCCCTTGGTCTGAGACAGACTCATGATGTTGTAAGAGAATGGTTCTCCTTACGTATCCACTGTCACAGGGACCATAGATCAGTAGAGCCGTGCAAATCTGAGGATATCCGCTTTATATCTTCAGACCATGTTTGCGGATCACGGATCAGATGCAGATACAAATTTTGTATCCATGCAGGGCTCTATAGATCAGTACTAGAAATAAAATTAGTCTTTTGTTCTTTAAAAATAGACATTAGGGATATTAATTTGGTACATGATTGATTTTGAATTAATTATTTGAAAACAAATATTACGGCTTACCCTGACAATCAACTCTCAAAGTCGCTGTATTGAGGTTGGAGAGACAGGAAAAAAAAAAAGAGGGGGTTGCAACAGAACAGTGATAATTCTTTGTTCTTGTGTAGCAATAAAGGGGTCTGTTATAAAAACCATGGCCGATTATAGAGAGTTAATTTTCTTTAATGATTTACAAATGCCATTCATTACAGGTAATAAAAGCTTGGTGAGACAGGTACAAAATATAACTTTCTATTCTAGACACATTAAAAATTGAGTGCATAGTTTTGTCTCCAAGATTGGACCTGGTATTTAATTTATAATAGCTTCCTTAGTCATAGCTCTCTTATATCATTCAGCAGTATGAAGTCATATTTTAGATATTTTCCACCCCAAGTTCATGTAAAACATGTAGTGCCATAACATGGGAATGTACCATGAGAGGACATTCTAGCCCATGTTTTCTACCTTTTGTTTCTTTCTGAGCCCATGGCAGAAACAGGGCAGTGTTAAATAACTCTTTCTAATTATGTTAACATCCCATTTTTGAAGCAATTTTAGGTTTGTCAAGTGCATTTCCTGATGTTTTTGTGCTTATGTTGTCTCTAAATGTTAATATTAAAAAAATCTGGGGTTATATTGGTCTGGGGTTACATTGGTCTGAGTTCAAGTTAGGTGATTGGAAATTAAGCTATTATGTAGCTCATACCATATTTCAAACTTATTGTGATGTGTTTCAAAAAAGAATGCATTGATTATAGTTTATTGTTTTGTGTTGTGACATCACTTGGTTATAAAGAACACTTTCTGTTATTGCTGGCACTATTAAGATATATATGTGGTAGCCAGGACAGGCACAGAGTAAAGTAAAAACAGCAGCGAATGAGAACTTTCAAATATGCTGGAAAATGTCACCTGGATGGCTGCAAGCATTTCTACAGCTGCTCAATACACAGAAGACAATGGGAGTTTTGCACATTAAGCAGCTACAAGCTCAGGCCCAGTAAGTCCGAAGGCTGAACAAATATGCAAGATGCACTAAAAGGACAATCAGGAGGCATTCTTATTGCTGGCAGCAAGGGGCTAAAGAATGACATGGGAAACAAAAAATAGAAACCCAATACCTGATGATGATTATCTGTAACCCTGTAGTAGAAATGACAGTAACTCACCTTGCAAGCCCTTGCTGCTACACTATCAATCTGAACATTCCTTCTTAATGGTTATTAATTTAGGCTCTGATTGTACAGTGGCTCTATGCTCTGAACTGCCATTCATTTCAATGGGAGTTCTGTGCGTGGTGCAGCTGCAGACTTGGTTCCTTATAGAAAACAAACGTGCTGCCAGGCAAATGGTGCAGTGCTAAATCTCTCCTCCTACTGAACAATTGGAAAATAAGACATTCTGCTCCACACTAGAGAAGATGCATGTAATGGGCTGGTTGGTGTAGCACCTACTCACACTGGCAATAAGGAAATTACTCCCCAGACATAATCCCCATAATGAATTAAGGTTGTCTTCAGCCACAGTTAATAAGGTTTGTTTCAGCTAGATTTTCCACAAAAATATAAAGCTTCCTGCAGCTCAAAGTGCAGCACAGGGGCAAATAGGGAGCAGAGCCGACCGACCCCATCAGGCAAGAGCAGACAACAGTCCCCGCAAGCATCCCCAGGGCCCTTTGGCAGTGTTAGGCAGATAGGCAGTTGTACTCCAAGCACAGCAGCATCTCTCCCAGCTGCTCAGCAACTCCCTCCCCTGGTTCCTGCTGACTACCTCTTTTCTAGCTCTTCCTCCTGCTGAACTGAGCACAGCTCTAAAGGCAGTTGCAGACACAGTGGCGTAGAGCAAGGAGCCAGTTACCCGCAGGTGAAAGGGGCAGCCTGCAGGGGATGGAGCTAGTAAGCGGCTAGGAGAGAAGTCTTTGCATATGTGACAAAAAGCAGTCAGCCTTTTAGAGGGAGGGTGGGGAATGGCAAAAAGGCCTGGGGAAAATGAGGAGGGAATCCATGCGGGAGAAAGCCAACGGGTAGAAAAGACTGAAACCCTATCAAGGAAGCCAGGTATGGGGAGGGAACAGAAGGTGAAAACAGAGCCACACAGAAAGAGAAGGAGCTTCATTTTTTCAAATAATTTGAGAAAATGGCGAGTGTTGTGTACGAATTTTTGTGAAAGGTGAAGTATTTCTTTCTGCTTTTTGGTCTTGTCCTCAGAAAAAAGTAAATTTAATATTCACCAGAATACATATGCAAATATCTGGCTGTTAGGTGCTTGCACATGCCCTCTCTTCCCCCTAAAAAGCACTTAGCTTATGTAGAGATTTGTTTAAAGGAAAATTTCACATTGGTTGGCAACTATACCCAGACAAACTGATTTATTCTCCTCCCACCCTAATGGTAGACAACGATTTCCTAGACCAGGGGTCGGCAACCTTTCAGAAGCGGTGTGCCAAGTCTTCATTTATTCACTCTAATTTAAGGTTTTGCGTGCCAGTAATACATTTTAGCGTTTTTAGAAGGTCTTTCTATAAGTCTATAATATATAACTAAACTATTGTTGTATGTAAAGTAAATAAGGTTTTAAAAATGTTTAAGATGCTTCATTTAAAATTAAATTAAAATGCAGAGCCCCCCGGACCAGTGGCCAGGATCCGGGCAGTGTGAGTGCCACTGAAAATCAGCTCGTGTGCCGACTTCGGCATGCGTGCCATAGGTTGCCTACCCCGTCCTAGACCCTCTAGGGGAACAGTGTCCTGGAGGAATGTTAACCAGGTTAATTCATAGATTGTTGGCAGTGGCAGAAAGACTTCTGGCTTCCTGTGATAGGACATTTTAACCCCTAGCTTGCTAGACATGGTAAGGGGTTTCATCTGCCCCATTACAGTGCCTAAAAACTCATGTCAGGTAAAATTTTCAAGAGCACTTAAATGACTTAGGTGCCTAAGTCCCATTTTTCAAAAAAGTGATTAGGGTTGCCACTTCTGAGGTACAAAATACCTGGCACATCCAGGATGATCGTCAGCCCATAAAACTTGAAAGCTAGCAGTGTACTGAGCACCCTTACATATTTTTTGGGGCAGCTACCTCATAAAAAAGATGATGCTGGGATGTTTAAGCTAGCCAATGGGAAAGGCTGACGGGAGGGGTGTGTCCTAAGCCCTGCTCCTCTGACAAAGTTAGATGCTTAAGTCAGGGAGGTGCTTATGTTCTGCTTGCAATCCTCTCATGGTGTCAGATAACTTAGGTGCCTAAGTGGTTCCTTGCAAGAAATGCTAGAGGAGGAGGTGGTGATGGTACCTCCCTTATAATTTTTAGCCCAGAGATTAGAACACTTACCCAGGATGTGGAAAACCTGGGTTCAAATCTCATCTCTGCTTGATGGGCGAAAGGGTTTAAGCAGGGGCCTCTCACGTCTCGGAAGAGGGTCCTAACCATGGGGTTAAGGAATAGTCTGATGTGGGGCTCCCTCAGTCTCTCCTGTTGAAGCTGTTCCACTTTATATTAATACTTACATAATCATAGGGCCAGAGAGAGAAAGTGCAAATGAGACTATAGGCTGGTGGTTAGGGCACTACCTGGGGAGACCCAAGATCCAGTCCCCCAGCTCCAATCACTCTTTCACTATATATCCAACTTCAGCAGGAGAGATTGAGGGTACTCCACATCAGAATATCCCATAGATCAATGGTTAGAGCACCTTCCTGAGAGGTGTGAGACCCCTGTTTAAATCCAGTATCCCCATCAAGCAGAGGGAGATTGATCCTGGGTCTCCCACATCCCAAGCAAGTGCTCTAACTACTGTGCTAAATGTTATAAGGGAGGCAGCACCACCACCACTTCCCCTTCTTCCAGCTGGATTCTGAAGAGTCCCCATCCAGTAAGCATGCTCTCAGCACGCTTACCAGACTGGGCCCAGCAGGAGAGATAGTCATCTCCCCGACTATCTTCACCTGATTTGAGGATCCCACTGCAGGATAGGCATCTGGACGCCATGAGTGAGGTGTTGTGCACATGCACAGAGGCAAAATCTTTGGTTTCTTGGGAACTTTTAAAGCAAAAATTTAGGTGCTGAGTGCATTTAGGGTTAGGAGGCAGCCAAACAGGGTTTTATGGATTGTAGTGGAGTTTAGGCGACTAAGTCTCGTTGGGATACTAAGGCCCAGATCCACAAGTCTCATTGATTTTTAGTGAGCCTTAGGCTCTCAAGTGCCTAAGACACTTTAGAAAATGTTATTCCTCATCCTTACCTGTGTTTTTCCTTCCTTCCCGTCCCTCCCTGTTCTTAATGTGGTCTGTGAATGCTGAGTGGGGAGTGTTGGCTGGGAAGGCAGGGGAGGTTGGCTAGGACGGCCTGCATTGGGGGATGGGAGACTGGCCTTGAGGGAAAATACCTGAGCATGTAACATGAGAACCCAGGAAGGGGTTAGAGGCCAGGTGACACCTTTGCTCGGGAAACTGAACAAAGGCTGTGGGAGGGGTCGCTGAAGGGAGAGTTTCAGGAGCTGGCTGGTGGAATGGCTGGGAGGCAGACAGGGCTCTGACCTCCCAAGGGGGCTGTGGGGCCCTGGGACCCCAAGATGGACCTAACTGGGGGGGATCCTGTTGTCTGTGCCTGCAAGACCTGTCTTGGACTGTGTTCCTGTCATCTAAATAAACCTTCTGCTTTACTGGCTGGCTGAGAGTCATGGTGAATCGCAGGAAGCCGGGGGTGCAAGGCCTTGTGTCCCCCCACACTCCGTGAGAAAAGGTACTATAGGGCTGCCCCCTCCCCCCAAAAAAAAATTATCAGGAAAAAGGAATGTTTTTCTTGTCAGCATTCTCAAACAGCAACTCCTGACTACATCCCCTTTCTTCCTGCCCCATGATCTTGAATAAATAAGTTAATTAAAATGAAAAGGAAAAAAGAAAATGTCTCCCATAAATGTTAAATCAAAATAGGGTAATACATAGCAAAAGACCCTCCAAATTAATATAATCTGCTGGGACCAACAGGGAAGGAGGGAAAATTTGGATCTAAAGAAGTTTCTCAGATTTCAGGGGAGAAGACTGATGGAGGCAATGAGCCTCTTAACACAGATGCCCCTCTGGTCTCTCTCTAGTGCCTCAGCAATGAATTGATTTTCTTGTACACCTAACACTACAGAATGGCAGCCATGTTCTTTGTTTCTTCAAACTACAAAGGAGATTTGATTTACTGCACCAATTTGATCAAAATAAAAGGTGAAACTGTGAAATGAATTCCAGCAAATAAAAATATAAGGTGCATCATTTCAGAGGCTGAAGAGACTATAAAATCACAAAAGTACTCTTTTAATAGCTTTGGGGCAGTCTTGTGAAAACTTTTGGCATACTTGGGCAAGTGATAAAAATACACTGCCTGTAAAAAGAAATTTAAAAAAATGCCTACCTTGTGTGTTCTCTTGTGTAATGTTAGTCATACTTCCATCTTCTGCTAAACCTTGCTCCAAATTTTCTAATATCTGTAGAAAATTGTTTAAAACGAACATGAGTTTAAACAGGCATTCTGGAATTAGGCAGCATTTTGTATTATACGCAAGTTATCTACAGTTGTCATAGTCTGTATGTAAAACAATTCAAACAGGAGTGTTTCACATGAACACATTTCAAAATCACTGATTATTACTATAGCTAGATCAATCATAACAGAGAGTCTTTGTACTGTAGTGCTGATGTTAGAGTTCAGGTTTATGATACTCACAAAGCATTAAAAGACAGCATACACCAGGGACAAATGCATTTTTTAAGCAAAATATCAAACATGCCCCTGAAGAGAATGATTATTATCTCTTGCAAAAACGTGAAACTGATTCCAGAAGAGAACTAAGAGGTTTTTTAAAATTTTATTTTATGTATCCCATAAATTCATTGATGCTCTGGTTTTAAATCGAATTTGTCTTTTTTGTTCTTAATTAAATAACAATCCTTCTAACTCTCAGCTCCATTTCCTTCCCAAAGTTGGGATTTTGTTGCTGTTTTTTATTTATTAGAGATTTTAAATAATATAAGCTATGGAGTGAGCAAAAAATTATGTTTGCTGGATTATCTGGAGAATGAGTATGTATAACTATTGGAGCTTCTGACTTAAGATATCTGCACCTTGAAAACATATATATCTACAGTTTCATTTGTAATGTAAGCCAATTGCATTTCTCCAGTCCCGCTATGGTGTATCCAAATGTCTCTCTGACTCCTGAAGATTACCCTATTTTTGCTGCTTCCCATCCCCTCATAAATCACTGCATTTCAGTTTCATCTTTTTGGTCACAGTAGACTGAATGGGACTCCCTTAAGAGCCTGTTAAACCACTCACTCTTTAATTAGCTGGTGGGTTTAGTTTATCAGCAACATAGGAGGCATTCCCTCTCCTGGGGGCCGAGTGCACTGCGTACCTAGTGCTTTCAGCTCATGCCAGTTTAAAGAGAGATTATTTACAGTGCAGTAGCACTCAAAATGTGCTTTGTGCTTTCCAAACAATAAAAGAAATAGGGTAAAATTGTCAAAAGAGATCAATTGATTCCAGAGCTTAAATTCTATTTTTAAAAGTGCCTTAGGCATTAAGAGCCTTTTGAAAATGGAGTTTAGGAACTTAAGGAATAGATTTTTAAAGGCACTTAGGTGCCAAAAGATGCAGCTAGGAGCCTAGTACCTCTTCAACTGCATACAAAAAATGGCCATTTTAGTCAACAGGCAGGCAAAAGGAAAGAGTTTATTTTGCAACAGAAGATAATCATGGGTTAAATGCAACTCTGAAGTAATTACACTGATTTCATTCTGGTTACACCAGGGATGATTTTAGTCCAAGGCAGCTTTGTCTTCTTTTTAAATTTTTGTCTCCGGGTGAGTGTTTGTTAGAGTTTATTTCACGGTGGTATTAGCATTTAAGTGGTCCCAGCTAGATTTTCAAGTGAACACATCATCGAAGTGAATGGAAGAAACAGTTCATACCTTTGCTGCTGATGCTACTGTTTGTCTGGAGACAGTTCTCTGCAATGCTGGCTTAACAGCATATTGATTTATGCAGGGAAGGCTAGTGGCACCACACAGTGCACTAGCAATTTCCATCCCGTTTCCCTGCCCTAAAACAAGAAGCTTAAGTTCTGCAGAAAAAGGCAGAATTTGCAATGAGACACAAATTGTAGGACATGCAATTCTGCAGTTCCTGTGATTGTTTCACTGGTTATACTCATGGCTATATTTGAACTCAGGGGAAAAATGTACAGGATCTAAATTCCTCCTTGAGGCCTATCCACAGCTATATATTTGATTAAATAAAACTGGATTCTGGGAAAAGTTTCCATTCAACAATCTGCATAAGGAATGCATAACAAAACTCTAGCTATACATGCATGACCCTGATTAGGGTAATCTTTATTTTTCTGTGTGAATTTGGTGTTTATCACAATGGGAGAATTATAATACTCTATAATACTAATATTATAATCCTAATAAGGATTACGCAGGCAGGAGTTGTACTAACTGACCATAGAAACTTTGATTATGCCCCTTGATATTGACTTGAAAAGCTTTGGTTATGTCAATCCTTGAGCTCTCTTGAATAGGACCTGCCCATTTGGCTACAGTTTATACCAGGGGCGGGCAAACTTTTTGGCCTGAGGGCCGCATCGGGTTTCGTAAATTGTATGGAGGGCCGGTTAGGGGAGGGGGTCGTGACCGGTCCCCACCTCCTATCTGCCCCCTCCCCCCAGGACTCCTGCCCCATCCAACCCCCCCGTTCTCTAACGGCCCCTCTGGGACCTTTGTCCCATCCACACGGCCCCGCTCCCTGTCCCCTGACTGCTCCTGGACCCCTGCCGCCCCATCCAACCCCTCCTCTCATTCCTAATGGCCCCCCCCTCCCCGGGACCCCTGCCCCATCCAACCACCCCTTCTCCCTGTTCCCTGACTGCCCCCTGCCACCCCATCCACCCCCCCCTTCCTGACTGCCCCCCAGGACCCCTACCCCCATTCAACCCCGTTTCCCCCCGACCACCATCCACACCCCTGCCCCCTGACCACCACCCCGAACTCCCTTGCCCTCTATCCAACCCCCCCTGCTCCCTGCCCCCTTACTGCGCTGCCTGGAGCACCGGTGGCTGATGGTGCTACAGCCGGGCCACGCTGCCGCCACCACGGAGCACAGAGACTGGGTCAGGCCGGGCTCTGCAGCTGTGCTGCCCCAGGAGCTCACAGCCCCGCCGGCCAGAGCATTGCGCTGGCAGCGGAGCGAGCGAGCGAGCTGAGGCTGCGGGGGAGGGGGGACAGCAGGGGAGGGGCCGGGGGCGAGCCTCCCGGGCCAGGAGCTCGGGAGCTGGGCAGGACGGTCCCGTGGGCCGAATGTGGCCCGGGGGCCATAGTTTGCCCACCCCTGGTTTATACTGTAACATGACTAAGTATTTACTGACTAAAACTGATTGGCTGGCTGAGCCTTAGAGATGACTTCATGCCCTATGAAGTTTTGAGTGCAACATCATCAGACCTCATCTTGAATATTGAGTGCAATTGTGTGTACCTGATTATAGAAACACACTGGCAAATGTGAGGGAGTTCACATAAGAGTAAAATGATCAGGGGACTGGAAAGACTGAGTTAAGAGCAGAATGAAAGAGTTAAATGTGATGTGCATAGATTGGCTAACGTGATGTCTACAAATATCTGAATGGTGTAAACACCAAGGAGTGAGAGGTAATATTTAGGATTATACAGAGAAGTTTAAGTTAGGGGTAATGTGATGAAATTAAGTAAAGGAAAACAGAATATGAGGAAATTTTCTTACAATGAGACTGTATTAGTATTAGACTGGAACAGTCTCCCAAGGGAAGTGGTGTCAACCTCACAGGCTGGTTCATTAAAAACTAGACTAAGCGTTAGAAAACAATCATGCATTGGCAGGGAGCTAGAAGGTGAGCTAATAGGTCTTTTCCCACCTCTAGCTTTTATGATTCCAAGATCATCACATTTACATAATGGGGATCCATAGACACTTCTGTAAATGAGAAAGAGGGCTAAGGATTTTGAAATATTACTCCTTCAATTTTAAAGTAATAAAACAAAACACTATTGGTTTATGGCTGCAAAGATTCCCCCATCATCAATTCCCCCTTATTTTTAATGTTATTTTTTTGGTTGTCCCATGACTTTTTCTTTTAATGTGGAGAATGTGTTCTACTTATGAACACTGCAGACAAGGTCCTGATTAACAGATTTGTGCGACCAATTATATATGCAGAAATGTCAGATTTAGTATTTTTTTTCTAAACAATTTCAAATGTTTTAGGTGGTTAAATTACCAACTGTGTAAAATTTCTCATCTGTCCTGTTTGTGCATCTTCCTCTTTATTCCCTCCTCTCTCCCTTACACCTGTTCCTGCAATTCCTGTCTTAGAGGTGCACTGGAAGACAAAATATGTATCTGATGGCAGACAACTAAAGCCATATGTTGTTAGGCCTTTAAAATAACTGAACAGTAATATCTTCTTTAAAAAGGAAAATAAAAAGAGGAAATGCATATCTTTTATCTCAAGGTTGACCAGACATCTTTGTTCTGGCAGGGAATCATGGCTAACTATATCATAACTGGGATTTGCCCATTTTAATATAGCCAGCTGCAAGCTCTGACACATGCCAAAGAGTGTGGCACTTCAAATACCAGACAGCCAGTGTATGCAAAATTCAATATGGAGGTACCATGCTGATGCTGAGCTCAGAAGTAGTTAGGAGGTGAGTTTCTTTAAGATGAGGAAGAGTGCTTATCCAGGAGCAGGTGAAGGAAAGTCAGAGAAGAGGCAGGACATAAGGCCAGTGGGTCAAAAAGTCAGAGTCAGAGAGAGTAAGAGTTTAAGGCCAGAAGGGACCCCCAGATGAGAGGCCACCAACACTACCCACACACTAAACCCAACAACAGCAGATACACTCTGCAAAATGATGAAAAATGTCCCAAAAAGAACTTCTTCCAGTTGCCAAACTCTGTACATCCCATAAGTGTTTCCAAACAGTTCTTCTTTCTAACAGTATGGCAAGAGCCACAGAACCCTTCATCTGCCAAACCCTGTACACAGCAGAAAGAATGGAGTCCTGGTTTTTGGTTTAAAATCCTAGTCATTCTTCTATGTTTTGTTTTATTAAATACATTGGTAAAACTTGCCAACTGTCTTAAATAATGAAATAATGTTGGAAATTATCTAACTTCTGCATTTGTATTATTCAAGGATTTTCTGAGAGTAAGTATAGCCAATACGACAAACACTGAGGTAATCATATTTATTTATCGTTGGTAAAGTTGCAAAAATTTTCAGTATCACAACTGTATGCTAGTTCTTTAAAGAGCTAATCTGGAATTTATAATAGTGTTTACAATAAATAAAAACAGTATCTCTTAATCTGAGATACTAGAAGAGGTATTTGTTGTAAACTTTGTAAAGGGAAGCTTTTGTCATATTTGTGTACAAGGAGTACCTACAACAGCACTACTCTTAACTTCAGCACTGAAAAGCCCTTGTTAAAAACAAGAACTAACACTGCACTAAATCTCAATCTTTAAAAATAACTGATTAGAATTTCCAAATAACGGACACTTCCATCATTGTATACAATGTTGCTGTAGCCATCTTGGTTCCAGGATATTAGAGAGACAAGGTGGGTGAGGTAATATCTTTTATTGGACCAACTTCGGTTGGTGAGATAGATGAGCTTTTGAGTTTACACATAAGAAGAGCTCTGTGTAAACTTGAAAGCATGTCTCTCTCACCAACAGAAGTTGGTCCAATAGAAGATACTACCTCAGCCACCTTCTCACTTCCACTGTAAGTTATCCAGAGTGCTAATATCTTTTGAGGGGGGATAGCAGACTTCCTGGTCAGTAAGAGCTATACTATGCTCTAGTTTCATGCAGCTGTACAAGAAGATACACCCTCCTACTCAGGCATGAACAGTCCCTATCAGGATGTTGGGTGACAGCCAGAGAGAGGTGCAGCCATGTTTCTCCCCAGCTATTTCCCCCCTTACCTCAGTCAACAGAGCTGGCAGGCATGGGGAGAGAGGGAAGAATTCTACATCCCAAAAAGGAGTGAAAGTAAATTACTCCCCAGAAGCTGTGGAAGGAGTGGCACAATCCCTTCCTTGTGCAATTCCTGCACCTAAATACCACCTCATTGCCAGGCTAGTCTAAAGCCTAAATCTAGTCCTACACCGGATGCTTTGGGTAAAGGCAGGAAAATATACCTGCATAAACATTAAGAGATTCTATTGTATAGAGCATAGTTTTCAAACTGTGTGGTGCACTGCCCGGGGGGATGGGTGGGGGAGGGTATGAGGAGGTTTTCAGGGGGCATAGTTCTGCCCAGTCCTGTCCCAACAGCAGCCTGCTACTCTCCCTCTCCTCACCTCCCTGACTGCTGGGGACTCCCTATGTCCTCTCCTATGTACAGTAACTCCTCACTTAAAGTCATCCCGATTAATATTGTTTCGTTGTTACGTTGCTGATCAATTAGGGCACATGCTCATTTAAAGTTGCGCAATGCTCCCTTATAACGTTGTTTAGCAGCTGCCTGCTTTGTCCACTGCTTGCAGGAAGAGCAGCCTGTTGGAGCTAGCTGGTGGGGGCTTGGAACCAGGATGGACCGGCAGCCCCCCTATCAGCTCTCTGCTCCCCTAAGTTCCCTGTCCGGCGTCCGCCTAGTAGGCTATCAATTGCCGGGCAGTTCAGCTGTCCCTTCCCACACTGCCATGTGCTGCTCCTGCCCTCTGCCTTGGAGCTGCTCCCGGGAGCCTCCTGCTTGCTGTGAAGAGGTGGGGGGAAGAGGGGTGCTAATGTCAGGGTGTACCCCTACCTTCCCCACCCCCACCTCCTGGACCCCATCCACAGAGCGGGGGGGACACCACAGAGCTCAGGACGGAGGGAGCTTGCTGGCAGCAGCTGCTGTCTCAACTTGCTAATCTACTTAAAAAGGCAGTGTACTTAGAGTGGGGTCAGCGTGCTTAAAGGGGCAATGCGCGTCTCTCTCTCTCTCACACACATGGTGTGTGTCTCTGTCTCTCTCTGCCATGCTGTCTCCCTTCCCTCCATTCATGCTGCCTGGTAGAGTGTGAGGCTACATTAACAACAATGTGCTAACCCTTGAGGGCTCAGCCGAGTGCTAGTTCATCATTTAGCAGTAAGGCATTCCCTGGGAAATATCCCACCCTCTTCCACCCTCTGACTTCACCACCTCAGCCAAGCTTCACAATCATCATTGCTGTGTACAGTATTAAATTGTTTGTTTAAAATGTATACTGTATTCTTTTGTCTGGTGAAAAATATTTCCCTGGAACCTAACCCCCCCCCCCATTTACATTAATTCTTATGAGGAAATTGGATTTGTTTAACATCGTTTCGCTTAAAGTAGCATTTTTCAGGAACATAACTACAACATTAAGCGAGGAGTTACTGTACTGCCCTGCTGCTGCTCAGACACCCAGTCGGCTGCAGCCCCATGTATTTTAAACCCTCCAGAGCCTGCAGAAGCAAGAAGCTCTTGGCATGGGGAGAAGGACAAGGAGCCCTAGTCTGCTCCGCTCCACACCACCATGGAGCCCTCCAGGCATGGAGCCAGTCAGGCCCTGCCGACGTCCCAAGTGTGCATCGCCTGTTCCCCTCAATGAGTCACTTTCTGCCTTGGACAACCAGGAGTTGGAAGGGGGAGGGCGGGCTATGTGGTTCCCCTGTAGAACGGGGCACAGCAAAAAAAGTTTGGGAACCTCTGGTCTAAAGAAGCTTTTACCTTTGTGCAGATTGTTTTCATGCTGTGCAGTCTATCAAGTGACTCCTGGGGATTTCCTAGGTACTGTTCAAGTTCAGCATGTAAAATCCGCATGGAAAAGGGAACCATGGAACCTAGAACCATAATGAAATGTTACTGAATTTGACTGCTACAGTTATCAATGCATATTGTTGACTATAGTCTATAGGGTATTTCTTAAAACATTTCCTAGGCATATTCACTAGAGAAAGTGATTAGGAATTAAAATCTCTAAATTCTCTTCTTCCCTTGATTAAATAACTAAATGTTAAATGAGTAAAATGTTTGCTACTTTATAGAATCATATATTTTTGGACAGAGAAATATAAATATATACAGACAAGCATAATCACAATGGTAAAAGTGTGCAACTAATTTATCCTTAAAATAATAGCATACTGTGTGTCTAGAAGTCCAAAAGAAATTAGAGGAATTTATTAGCAACTGAAAATAAGGGTTTAGAATGGAAACTCATCTACGATTTAACTACAGAGTTGCTACGGAAATACAATAATCCCTAATTTACAAATAGTACTGAAAAATTTAAGATGGCTTTTCTAATGGTACCTTTTAAACAAAGATGACACACACATTGAGAAAGACAGATAACCAAATAAGAAAGCAACACAAATTAAATGCAAATTAAATCACAGAATTATACGACTGGAAGGGACCTCGAGAGGTCATCTAGTCCAGTCCCCTGCACTCATGCTTCCTCCAAATAAATAAAAAGCAGATCTGAAGGGCCCCTAAAAAAAAAAAAAAGAGACGAAAAGAAAAAAATAAAGACAGAAAACCAACATACATTAAAAGAAACTAGGTAAGAGAATGAAAATAGCAAATTAAACGACAAAAAGTTAACAAGAGGAATACTGTGACATAAGTACATGAAATCTGATGTGCAATTAAAGAAAAACAAGGAAGTAAAATATATTATTTGAGTTTCTATTATCATTACTTTGTATTGTAATAGTACCCAAAGCCCCAATAAGGATCTGGGATCCATTGCGCTAAGATTATCCCTGCCCTGAAACACCAACCAGCTCCCTACCTCTCCCCCTACCCCTTCAGTTCAGCTTTTATCGTATTAAATATTGTCTCCTGTGAAGACAGTAGTGTTCCTATGGAAGGACTCATTACACTGTGAATCCCAAACTGAATAAAGTTTTCCTTGCAGTGAGACAGAAGGATACCAAACGGAAGGGGAAAGAGAACTTCAACCAATATTTTCAACAAAAAGATTGCTTTCTTTTAATGTTATTAGAAAGCAAAAAAAGATACAGTAATCTAAGGACCCAGTCCTGCGAGTAGCTGAAGCATCCTAATTAACTTCATTGAGACTCAGACCCACTCTGCACCTTATTTGCTCTCAGGTATTTGCACACTTCAATGGACACTGAGAAAAACTATCCGAGGGAAGAATCTGATCCTAAGAAACAAGTTATTAGTAACAAACGGGTAAACTATGATGGGGGAAGACGAGAGAGAGAGAGAGAGAGAGAGAACACTTGCCTATAAGTCTAGTACACTAACCTGATGGCATACTCTAAACTAAAGGGATTATCGTCCAGTTCTCATAAACAGGACTCAGGAACTTTTTAGAAAGATGATGAGATTTTGTTCCTGCTCTTATGAGGCACATGTGTCAAAGGGGGAAATATACAATGTGTCATTGTCTCTAAAGATTTTTTTTTAAACAAGACAGAATCTTAACCAGAAAACCACTCACTAATTATGACCTTAAGAGAACTCCAATTACATCTAAGTAAATTCCCTTTCTCCAAAGGTAAGTATCCCCAAAGGCTCCTCTTAGAGACTGAAGTGTTCCCTCTGTAGGAGTACACACTAGTTGCATAAAGCATCAAGTATACAATACAGATTAAGAAAGCAAAAATGCCTTTGTAATTCCTTTAAGGAAACATTTAAAAAAGTTATCAAACCAAAAGCAAAGAGATTAATATGTCCTTATACTGACTAGTGATCAAGCACAATACAGGACAAAACAAGATAAGGAAAAATGCCTAGATCGCTAGAGAGCCAGGCATGCAAGCTGGGGACAACCAAACTGCAGAATCTCTTCATGAGGGAACACTAAGCTAAAACTGTTTTGTAGCAGAATGCTATGAACCTTAAATGCCTATCTTGCAAATCTAAAAAGGCAAACATGACCTAAGGCTGGCCATATTCTCTACCACAACGATGGATCAATGAGCTCTAATTCAACCTTCAAGTAATAATTCTGCTAAGAAGTAATAATAAGAAATGCATAGACAGTATGGTTATTTTGGAGAAAAGTTGGCTCATACTGGTGTGGTATGATCCATGCAACTCATGATATACTCTAATAGATTTTTCTGTGTCAAGTAAAAGGCAAATTAGGTCCAGTTTGTATAGCAAAGCTTCAGAGAATGTGGACTATAAGATGGAAAAAAATCTGAAGGCTTAGAAGCAATTTTTGTTGATGAAGGTGTCATACCAATAACAACCCTGAAAAGAACTCAGAACAAGGCTGTATCATTGGCTCTCTTGGTAAAACCAATAAAACCCAGTAACACGGCAGCAGTAATGTCATGTGGGAGACCTGATTTGGTTCCCAGGTCACAGGCAGTGCCACAGAGGAAACATGCCTCTCACTAACAAATCATAGAATATGTAAACAAGATTTGGGACTGTCTATTTTGGAAAGTTATTGATCCTTTACATTGCTGCACATGAGGCCACTAGTGTGTGTGTGGGTATGCTATCAGAGGCAGAAAGGGAAGGAGTAACCAAGAACCACATTACTAAGCTGTATCACCAAAGTTGGTGTCACCTTATGTTAGAGAGATGAACGGAGCTGAAGGCCAACTGTATCTGGCTTATAAATCACACTTCGTCTGTGTGAGTAGAGAAACTCATTTAATTATTTTCTAATGCAGAAAGCTATGGGAACTCATAGTGTCCTGCAAAAAGTCACATACCAATTTTGGTACACGCTGAAAGTCCCCAACAGCTCAGTTAGGACAGGCATCCAGCACAGTATTACCTACAAATATACTTTATTTGTATTATTAATTTATTATTTGTTAAGCACAAATGATGTGCTACTTCATTCAGGGCAGCTGGCCAGAAACCATTCAAATGCGATCCATTAGTATGAACCTTGCTGTGATGTCACAGCGTCCATCAAAGACTACTGCAGCATGCAGCCAGTCCACAGGAAGGAAAAGATCAATACCGTGCTTCCACTCCTAGATTTTTTATTATTTTATACGCTTTGTGACCCATGCTGACATCCCAAAAGGATCCAAAACACTGGTGTTTTTATTTCTCTCTCTGTTACCTCTCTTGGAATAAATCTTGATAATATAGTTAGAATTCTTTTAAGTAAAATAATTTTTACTATAGTAATGTGATCCAAGCATGTCTGGAAAAATTTTATTGGCCAGCAGCCAGGGCAAGTATACACGAGGATCAGACAACTGAAATTCAGTTACTTACTGTGCACTGAACAGACTGCCAACCTGAACTTAAAAATCCCAAAGGCATTGACTGGCACTGCCCTCCCACCTCAGTTTCCTTGCATACCTTATTGAATAGCAGAAAAAATGGATGATTTGCTTGCTTGGTTAGTTACTTGGCTAAATTATTCTGCTTGGCAAGTTGCACTTTGGGAGGAATGCACATAGCTATGCATATGGTCTCATGAAAATGTGGTAAAAGGAAGTGCTGCCATCCGGTGAGGAGGGAAACCAACTTTTAACTTGAAACTCTGATAGGGCACGCCAATCAGTCAACCTACCCAATATTTTGTAACTGCAGGTCAAATCAGATCAGCAAATTGTCCTTTAGAAAGGGAGAAACGTGCGTGCGTGCATACACATCTTAATTTTAAGAACTAACTTTGTTTACAGAAAAACCCTGGGATGTTTTACTTGTTGGACAATCAAGTTTGAGATCCAAACTGTTCTCAGATAAATCAGCTTCATCCCCTCCCCCCCATATTGGATCTAGGAACATCTATCTTCATTTTTGTTAAATGATTTTGATGTGGTTACTCTTAGGTACAACTGGTGTAGGTCAGCAGCACCCATATGGAAACATTACATTATGTTAATTTAACAAACAATTGTAAACTTATTTTTCTGAGGAAAAATAACGATCATTACTTTATTTTAGACTTTACAAGTCTTTGCCGGTTTGTAAGTGTTACAACCCTCAAAATACTTAGATATAAAACATAAACAAATAAACTTCCCTTGGAAAAAAATCTATGGCATTCCTATAAATTGTATCTCAAGGAGTTTGGTCATAAAAAGATTTAATTTTACTCTAGAATAATTTTTTAAAAGAAACCAACAAAAATACTTCTATATTTTTTACCTACTGTACAATTTCTAACATCCAAAAATTGAATCTGTGGCTTTTTTTCAGATTGAGGCAGAGGAATAATTATCTTTAAACTGCTGTGACAGAAAAACGTTGAGAAAGACCTTGAAAGCATGAGAGAAGCAATAGCAAGTTACTAAAAATCTTTTTAGAAGGTGGATGATTGTGAATCTTTGTTATCAAAAGACTCTGCAAGGTGACCTATGTGTGTATCACGGTGGAAGGGAAGGTTATGAGCATAATGGGCTCTAAAAGCAGTTCAGTAGAATTTCACAGGGAGAATGGAGGATGAAAAAGGCAAAGACCAAACTGCAATATGACTCTTGTGAATCTTCAGTTAAGTCTCATCAAGCTCTACTGATAAAAAGTAAAAAGCAATCTAATGAGAGAATCACGGAAAGTGCTGTCTTTGAAGACTTAACCGACTTAACAGAGCTCAATAAGAATTTTGGTCTAAACAATAGGACTTTGATTTGTTGCTCTGTGACACCACCACATCATGTTGCATAAAAGGCATGTCTTTCAGTTTCCTCCTGCTGAGTAAGAAAACTAGTGCCAAAGGAGCTGACATGGAAGACCCCATTCTAGTAGAAAAGGGCAAATCTACCAGAAAAAAACCAAAACAAAAACCCAAACACAGCTTCCACTGTCCTATGAGGCATGGATGTTGAGCCTTTTGATTAAAAAAAAAATCTTTTTGATGGTCTTAATATAAGGATAATAACAA